AACTGGCCTTCCTCAGCTTTAATCATCTCATTAATCCCCAGCAGCAGCAGAATGAGGTGATTCTGACTTTAATCTGAAGGACTGAAGCAAGGAAATGGATCCTTATGGCGATGATGACATTTGTCTCCATCAGGAGGAACAACTCTGTTATCTTCAGAGGATTTATGAAACATCACAACCATTCAGAGCAGCTACGACGGACGGAGATGGATGGATTCATGATGCATTTAATATGAAACCTGAACAGAAACAAAGATTTCACACCTGAGAAGCTGCTGAACTCCTGAACTTCTCTCTATTTTTAACATCTTCATAACTTCAATTATTCAAATGTTCTCAGATTGTTTATGTGAAGAAGACAGAAGATCAGAAATAAACAGGAAGCCTGGATTCAGACCGGGAAACGGAAGGAGAAGGATGGAAGGAATCCTGTTTCCCTGCAGAGAAAAACTAAAACACACGGCAGCTTTCATCCCTTTGGGTGGAAAACGTCCTTCATGTGCTGGTTCAGCCGTTCCTGGAAAAGCTGAACCTGGAATGTTGGAGGAAGAGGAGGAGGAGGAGGAGGTCCCAACAGTCCAATGTTTGGCTCCAAGAGAACTAAAAAGGATCAAATGTGACTACTGATGCTGCAAAACCCACAAATAACAAAAACAAGTCAAGTGGGAGCCAGCACCAGGCTGAGTGGCTGAGACCAGATGGAGACGCAGGATTGAGATCAGATTTGATTCTTTTGCACCACACCAGCTTATTTCTACGGTGCGTTTAAGAGCAGCGTAGGAGCTGGCCGAGGCGCCTCCCAACATGGGACAGAGAATAAAGATACAAATAAAACAGTTGGTAAAAGCAGCAATCAAAACACATGATAAATAGTAGAAAGAGCCTAAAAACCTGAATCTAGACGGTCTAAACGAGCACAGAAGGTGGTCACAGCCAGGGTCTTCAGTCTGGACTTGAAGACAGAGACATGATAGCTGGTGATGGAGATGGGGAGGGCATTCCGGCATGATTAAGACTGTTTTTCTCTCTGATCGGATAACCAAGTGAATGATCGGTAAATGGATCTCAGTAATTAATCTCTGATTTAATCCCACGATGTCCTCTGTGGTGTCGGACCCACCGTTCAGCCCCTCCGGGTTCGGTTCTGTTTCACACTGGACTCTGATGCTCATTAGCGTAGCGAGGTCTGACTCCCAGCTCGGAGTTCGTCCTCCCAGAGCTGCTCGGTGGTCCTGATGAAGGTGATGCGTGCTGGCAGAGCGAGGAGGGGGTTAAGGAGGTCATAGGACAGTGAGGAGAGAGGAGACCAGGGAGGAGGTGTGGAGGACCAGAGGCTCTGAACGCTGCAGCTCGTCGCTTGATCATCCATGACAGAAGCAGGAAGTCCAGAGCAGAGACTCAGGAGAGCTTGGTCCAATCAGGACTTCTGTTGGTTTTATTTTGTGTTTCAGCTCCGAGTTTCAGATTAATTCAGATCCAAACATTTAAATTTTTACTGAGACCCTCTGATGTCAGACTTGGTGAAGTAGGACTCTTATGAGCTTCACAGTGGAGAAGCTCTGAGATCCTTTATAATGAAGCTTAGAGCCTTTGACCTTTGACCTTTCTCTGATGTTCATGTATCAGATCAAGATGTCGACACAAACAGCAGCACACCTTCTCTAAAGGTGATGACGATCCGCTGATCGCACAGAAACAACCAACAGGAGGAACAAAGAGCCAGACTGGGACCAGAGGAGGCTCCGCCTCAGGGATTTGGTCTGGAACTGCATGGAGCGGCAGGACCTACAGTCAGGTCCATAAATATTGGGACATTGACACAATGCTAACATTTTTGGCTCTATAGAAGAAAGCCTTCTTTAGCTAAAATGTGTCCTGTAGTACGAGAACCGCTCTCAAGCAGTTCCTGCTGACCAGGATGGCTTTTACTGCAGCGGGACTTCACTTCCTTCTACATGATCAGAGACTACAGCGGGTCTTTTCTGCTCCTCTACCTGTAAACTCCATGTAGTGAGATCACAGCAGCACCTGGTGGAAATCAGAGGTACTGCAACAACGTGGCAGCTGATTGGCTGCAGCTTGGGCTGGGCGGGGCTTAGAGAGGAGTCAGTGTTAACAAGCAGGTGAGGGTTAATGGAAAAAGGGAAGTGAAAGGTCAAAAGAAATTTTGTTCATTTTAATCATGCAGATGATTCCCGAACAAACAAAAAATTCCAGCTCGTGTGACCTGAACTCACCTGCTGCAGGTGAGAGCGATAAACTCTGTTCAGCTGTTAGCCTGCTGCTCTCTGCTGTTTCTGTCATTCACAAAGGATTCTGTTGGTCTTCTTCAGTCCAATCAGGACTTTTAAACATTTGCTTCATGTTTGGATTCTGAGCTTTTATTTCGAATGTTTAATTTAGTTTTTTTCTTTCATCTGCCTGATTTTATATGAAAAATGTCAAAAATATCCCAAATTATGGGGAGAAACTTCTGTTCGTTTTAAGATGAAAACTTCAAATTTACATCCAAACCAGGAAACTGGACTTGATTCAGTAACACACACACACACACACACGCACACGCGCACGAACAGCTCAGAGGGTGATACAGCATTAGAACAATAGAGAGAGAGAGCAGTGAAGTCACTCTGGCACAGGGACGAGTGAGAGAGATTTGAAGCAAAGAGAAGCTCGCTCGCCCTCAGCAGAGACTTCAGCAGCTCTGATGTTTCAACAACCTGACAAACGAACTCGGAGCCAAACGAGTAGAAAGCAATGAGTCTGAGGAATTTTCAGACTCCGGGAGGCAGAAAGACACCAGATCTACTAAATAAAGACAGAAAGAAAAGAGCAGCATGTGTGTTCTGGTGTTTATCTAATAAACACGCAGATGCTTCTATTCTGTTTCAACTGTAAACATTTGAATCCAATCTTAAGTATTTTAATAATCCTGTTTTTAGTTTTTATATTTCAGCAAACGGTCCTGCAGCTTTGGTCTCTCTAGACATTTTGCTCTTTCTTACCCAAAATGTTTTCACTGTTTTTTTTTCCCGTCTTTTATTTATTTATTATGTGTTTATTATTTTATTATTGAATATGTCTGACTGTTTCAGCTCCGGACTAAAGAATTCATAAAAAGATGTAGTGAAGTGAAAATGGAGCGCTGCCCTTGGTCAGCTACCTCCTCATTATTGGGGCATTTGGGGTAAAAAAAAAAAAAACAACAACAACAAACAGATGTGATGTAAACAAGCCACAATGCTAATTTGTTCTCATTCTGATGAATTCAGGTGATCTAGATTGAAATTTTCTTTTCTACTTTATTTGTTGACTCGTGTCGTTGATCCCGCCTCAAAGCAGCTCACTCCAACCTGATCGGATGAAACCATCTGATGTTTATCAGATGGTTCCTCATCCTCCGGACCCTGGACTCTTTCCCTGCTGAAGGAACCTGAGTGACCTGCTGTTCCTGACCTTCATCGCCGTGGCGTCGGTCAGAGTGGCGACTTGTTCAGTCAGCTGAGACGCCATGACATGGCAGCGCCGACACAGACTCTGAAGCTCCTCCCCTTCTTCATCCTGCTCCTCCGGGTTTCCATAACGACTCAGTTCCCCTGCTGACAGCGAGCCTTCAGGGTTCGGCCTCTTCTGAGCCTCCTCTTCCTCATCTTCTGCAGAACGAAGACGCTTCCTGTGACAGGTGGAGCCCAGAGGAAGAGGCGTGGCCCCCTCCACCACCTGTAGACAGAAAAGTGATGAATGTCTCTGGTCTGAGTCCAACTGGATCAGGAACAATTCAGGACCGGTCAAGAACCAAGCCCCACAACAGGAATAGGAACATTTTAGCTGCTGAAGCTGAATCTGGACACAAGAACATCCCAGCCAGCATCACGCTATCGTTGACGTTACATGTGTGCTTCGTGACGCTACGCAGGACCATTTCCCTCCGATAGACTTGTGGGAATCTGGTCAAATCTCCTGACCTGGCCTTGTGAAGGACGAACTACTGACTCGTTCAGATGTTGAGCTGAATCTTAATCCTGCATCAAAAGGTTTAGTTTACGTGTTTCAGTCTCAGATTCGATAAGAATCAATATAATGAATTGTTACTCCACATCCTGCGGTAGGTCAGAATCTTTCTTTTGCTTTTTTTATCGGTTAATTACTCAAGATTTTTCTCAATTTAATTCATAAACAAAAATATACAATAAAATAATTAAATAAAACATCTTAAGTTCAAGATGAAAAAATAAACAAATTTCCTGCAAATAAACTACTCAACTAACAAAACAAGAATAAATGAAAAAATATGGAGAATTATTATTATTATTATTATTATTATTATTATTATTATACGTTCAAATATAATCTTTTTGCTTCAGTAAAGAAAATACAAAGGAGATGCTTTTTTGTTGCTGACATAAAAATATTGAGGGTTTAGATTAATGATAATAACAAATAAAACAAATACAAGAAAAACGGATCATTTGACTAAACACATATATTTAATTTTAAACTCTAAAAGGACATTTCATGATAAAGCAGAGCTGCTCCTCACCGTGTACCTCCGGTAGTCGGGCCGGCGTCCCCGGGCCGTGTCCCGGTACTGAGAGTACATGTCAGCTGATGAACCTGGAGGATCGGAGGAACTCTGACTTCTCTCCAGCTCTCCGTCCTCTGAGCTGCATCTCCAGCCGCTGATGGAATCTCTGAGTTTGTGTGACAGTGGGAGGAGAACGATGTCGCTGAGGCGTGAGATGTTCTGATGCAGAGTTACACAACTACTGGAGACCAGAACATCATCTAGCTTATAGGAGGGGGAGGACACGCGTGTCTTGCTCCTGTTGTGACCTCCCTCAGAGCCCGTAAGCGTGCCCCTGCCCAGGGCAGCTGTGGCTGAGATGAAGCTCATCACCATCAGTGTGTGAATGAACACTAGTGTAAAGTGCTTGGGAGTCCTCTGGGTCTGAAAGGCGCTGTAGAAGTGCAGGTCCTTTATCATCATCTGACTCCAGACTCCAGGAGGAGGCGTTCATCCCAAACCTACAGACTTCCTCTGGGTTCCTCTGTAACGCATCGGTGTGTCAGGTTTCACTCATGAAAGAGTCACGCCGCTGTTAGCCAATGAGAGTTGAGATATTTAGATGTCACAGGGGTGGACACCAGGGTTGGTAAAGTTCAGATGTAATGATCTCACACACACACACACACACACACACACACACACACACACACACACACACACACACACACACACACACACACACACACACACACACACACACACACACACACACACACACACACACCTTTAGTTCTGCCTCCAGCCAGAGCACCATCACACCTCAGCTCCAGGCAGAAGACTGACTCCTGCCTCTGACTGAAGGGTTGTCTTTGTCTCCATCTAGTGATGATAAGATGAAACTACTCCAGGCTTCCTGCTGCCAGTCAGACTGGTTTAGTCGTTTCTTACCGTCAGTCAGGCGTGTTTCAGACTTAAATTATGAGGATGTGAAGACAAGAAGCTGCTACTTCTCTCCAAACGCTTCCTGACTCACGACGGAGGGAGAGAGCCAACGAGGTCATCTGCAGGGAGTTTAACCGGTGAGAAATATTTCTGTATTTGGCAGAAGCTTGGAGGAGTCGTCGTGAGGTCATCCGTTACACCAAAGCTCCAGATGAGGCCCGCTCGGCTCAGGACTGTAGACTAACGTCAGGAGGCTGAGGGTACCGGAGCTGAGCGCTCAACCTGGAAACCAGTTGGGATGTTTACGTAGTCACGGCTGCACCGCCAGTTTCTCACGAGTGAAACAATAACTGCAGACAAAGCTTTTCCAACAGGTCAAACCGCTTTTAAAGGCTGGGCTCGGATGTCTGACACACCGATCAGCTGCTCTGAATAAAACAACTAAACCGTCAGACATTTATGGACTTTTAGAAACATCTTCATTAATTAGATTTAACATCCTAGAACAAGTCCTGTAGCTCAACTACAGCCGTGTCCCGCGGAGAGGACCCAGAGTAAAACCCAGGTAGAGTATTAAAAACTCAGCTTTGTCAGGGAACAAATTCAAAATGTTAAACTTTATTAAACTTGTTAAACAGCATTCATCCATTCACACACACACACACACACACACACTGATGGTGATGAGCTACAGTATAGCCACAGCTGACAGGTCAGAGTTAAAGAAAAGCAGGTTTCTTTCAGGTGTTTAGATGGTTTGTTTCATGGCTGCTCCAACCTAAGCTGCAGCTGTTACACACCTGCTTAGACTCTATCAAAGCCTGGATGGCTGGGAGCTTTCTACAGCTGAATGAAGATAAGACTGAGATCCTCATCTGTGCCCCAGACAAGCTGGTTCCCAAAGTCAGAGACTCTCTTGGTCAGCTTGCTTCTCACACCAAACCTTCTGTCAGGAATCTTGGCGTGACCTTTGACCCAGCTCTCACCCTGGATTCTCATGTCAGTTCTATTGTTCGCTCTTCCTTCTTCCATCTCAGGAACATTGCTAAGCTGAGTCCCATTCTGTCCCGCTCTGAACTTGAGACAGTTCTCCACACCTTCATCTCCTCATGCTTAGACTACTGTAACTCTCTTTTCACGTGTCTGAGCAGAACCTCCCAGAACCGTCTACAGGTGGTTCAGAATGCCTGTGCTCGGCTTCTGACCAAGTCCTCCAAACACACCCACATCACTCCGCTTCTCCTCCAGCTTCACTGGCTGCCAGTCAACTTCAGGGTTCATTTCAAGATCCTGGTTCTGGTCTATAGGGCCTTACATGGACAAGCACCATCTTACATTGGTGATCTTCTTAGTCCCTACACCCCCCAGCAGGTCCCTGAGGTCCAGTGATCAAAGCCTACTGGTTGTGCAGCGCACCAGGCTAAAGGTCAAAGGTGACAGATCATCTGCTGCTGTGGCCCCCAGACTCTGGACCCCTCTCCCCCTGAGACCAGTGGACTCAGTGGTCTCCTTTAAACTCACCTGTTCAGGTTTGGTGGGACCTTCATCACCTCCCTCTCCGTGTTCTGCTCTTATTCTGCCTTTCCCGGGATCCACTGGTTTCCCTCTTTCCTTACATTTTTTAATCACAATTGTCTATTTTTGCTTATTTCAAACATATTTTGAATCATTTTCTAAAATCTTTTTTATATTTTAAACGTTTTGTTTCTGTGAAGCGGCTCGTGATTTTGATCTTGAGACGCTGGAGAAAAGATCGTTTTCTTACCTGGAATCTCTGAAAGGGTTTTTCTCAGACCAGGATTTTCCTGACTGCCGTGTTGGTGATGACATCATCAGAGAAAAGACAAGAAAAATAAAATTGTTGTTTCATCTTAACGTGAGATCATGAACAAAAACCAGATCTAAAAGATTTATGATCACTTTGGTTTCCATAATCAAACCCACAGCCTCCAGTTCTGCTCCTGGTCTCTGATCCTGTTTCATGGACCAAATCCCAAAGCCTGCCTGGTTTGTGGGAAAATGAATTAGAACAAACCTGTGGTGGCTCTCTCTGGGCTCATCCTACAAGGAGGAGACCTGGAATTCCCCAGAGGGATTCTGTGTCATTCCCTCTCAATGATCCCAGTGGAAGAACTGGAAAATGTGACTGGGAAGGATGTTTACACCGACAACAAAGAGATGAGCTGATCTGAGTCCTGTGATGTTTGTGTGAAGGTCTGGACTGAACCATGGATCAGATGCAACGTGAAGTCCCAGCGACTGAATCCACACCGTCTGGAAAGCCTGAGATTCCGATCAAACATCAGAGGTGAGATTATAGTCTTGTTTGTGAAACTAAGCTCAGGTCCATCATTGTTCACTCTCAGATTTGTGCTAAAGTCACCAGCAGCTCAGCAGAGTCTCTGAAACGGAACCAGACCCTGATTCCAAACGCGTGTCGCTGAAAAGCGACCAATCAAAGGAAGCTCCTCTCAAGTTTAAAGGACTCGATCCTGATGAAACACAGTAAGTCTGCACAATATTTACTGATGTTTGTTAGGAACGTCCAGTAGGGGTTAAAGTAACTAAAGCATCGTTCACCCCTGAGTTATGGAGAATTTTACAGTGTGAATCATCCAAAGGTCAAAGTTTAGGGTCAAAAGGTCAGGATGAGAATCAGCTCCTTAAATCTCAGGTTCTGGTTCCTAAACAGCAAAAGGTAGGATGCTCCATCTGGGATGGGAGAGAGTCTGTTATTCTCATCTGGAGCATAAATCTGATAGGAATCAGATCTCCATGATGTGGTGAGGAGAGCTGGGCCAAGAGGTCTGATCAGGTTCTGATGCTCGCATGTGGCTATGAGATGTGGATCAGAACCAGAATAACAGAATCCTGGATGGAAAGGTCTGAAATGGTCCTCCTCTGTGGAGGTTCAGCCTCAGAGAGGAGGGAGGAGCTCCATGTGTGTGTGTGTGTGTGTGTGTGTGTGTGTGTGTGTGTGTGTGTGTGTGTGTGTGTGTGTGTGTGTGTGTGTGTTGTAAAACAGGTTAAAACTGAAGAACTCAGAGGATCTTAAGAGTCATGTAACACCCCAAATCAGCCTCCCCTTCATATTTATGGTGAGAAGATTTGAACATGTTATCTGTAAATAATTGTGATGAAACTGTAAAAAACAGCAGGTTTATGTCCAGATCAATGTTCTTCTCTGTGCCAGTGTCTGGAAGAGAACATAATCCGTTTTGTTAAGAAGGAGCTGAAGAAGTTCCAGGAAGCTCTGAGTCCAGCAGATCCAGAATGCTTTGACAGTCAGGATGATGAAGAGGAGCTGGGATGTGAGGAGGAGGAACGAAGGCGAAGAAACAGAGAATCACTTCTGAACATCACTCTGAACCTTCTGAAGAAAATGAAGCAGGAGGACGTGGCTGATCTTCTGCAGAGCAGTAAGATGATGGTGGAGTTTATTAGAGGGAATTTTTAACATTTAAACGTGAAGCAGTGTTTCCCTTTTGTATAAAAACACGAGCTTAGTGATTTCAGGAGGCCATGGTCCCCATCAGTGGTTCATTAAGGTTACCACGGTAACCATCAGTGGTTTATTAAGGTCACCATGGTAACCGTCAGCGGTGTACTAAGGTCACCATGGTAACCATCATTTGTTTTTAGTTTTTTTTTTATTTAAGAAACAAGGCGAATCTCCTGCTTTGTGACGGAAACAAACCATACTTTTTTATTTGTAAAGCACATTTCAATTGTAGCATGGGAGCTGTCCAAGGTGCTGCACAGGCAAGTACAACAAACTTTATACAAGTCAACAAAGATAAAAAAAAAAACACTAAAAGCATAGATGTAATGGCAAAGTTGCAACAGATAAAGCGTTCCACAGCTGGGGGCAGCATGGACAAACGCTCGCTCGCCTTGCGATTCATTGCACATCCATGGAGTGCAAAGCAGGAGGTGATCTGCTGACTTCAACAAGCACGTGAGAACATAAGGCGTAAGCAGGTCAGACAGATATGCTGGTGCTTGGTTGTGCAATGCTTTGAAAATAAAAGTCAGCAGCATTAACTGTACACAAAATGCAACAGGGAGCCAATGAAGGCATGCAAGGACTGGGGTGGTGTGGCTACGTCGTCTTGTGTTCATCAGGAACCAAGCAGCTGCATTCTGGACAACCGGCAGCTGATGTAGTACTGACTCAGGAATACAAGTGAAGCGCATTAGCATAGTCTAAGCAGGAGGTAATGAATGCATCGTCGTCGTCTTCCTCCGCTTATCCGGGTCCGGGTCGCGGGGGCAGCATCCCAACTAGGGAGCTCCAGGCCGTCCTCTCCCCGGCCTTGTCCACCAGCTCCTCCGGCAGGACCCCAAGGCGTTCCCGGACCAGATTGGAGATGTAACCTCTCCAACGTGTCCTGGGTCGACCCGGGGGCCTTCTGCCGGCAGGACATGCCCGAAACACCTCCCCGGGGAGGCGTCCAGGAGGCATCCTGACCAGATGCCCAAACCACCTCAACTGGCTCCTTTCGATCCGGAGGAGCAGCGGTTCTACTCCGAGTCCCTCCCGAATGTCCGAGCTCCTCACCCTATCTCTAAGGCTGAGCCCGGCCACCCTACGGAGGAAACTCATTTCGGCTGCTTGTATCCGCGATCTCGTTCTTTCGGTCATTACCCAAAGCTCATGACCATAGGTGAGGATTGGGACGTAGATCGACCGGTAAATCGAGAGCCTGGCTTTCTGGCTCAGCTCCCTCTTCCCCACGACAGATCGGCTCAGCGTCCGCATCACTGCAGACGCCGAACCAATCCGCCTGTCGATCTCCCGATCCCTCCTACCCTCACTCGTGAACAAGACCCCGAGATACTTAAACTCCTCCACTTGAGGTAGGACCTCTCCCCCGACCCGGAGGTGGCAAGCCACCCTTTTCCGGTCGAGAACCATGGTCTCAGATTTGGAGGTGCTGATCCTCATCCCAGCCGCTTCACACTCGGCCGCGAACCTACCCAGCAAGAGCTGAAGGTCAGAGCTGGATGAAGCTAGGAGGACCACATCATCCGCAAAAAGCAGAGACGAGATTCTCCTGCCACCAAACTCGACACACTCCACACCACGGCTGCGTCTAGAAATTCTGTCCATAAAAGTGATGAACAGAACCGGTGACAAAGGGCAGCCCTGGCGGAGTCCAACTCTCACTGGGAACAGGTCCGACTTACTACCGGCTATGCGGACCAAACTCACGCTCCTCTGGTAAAGGGACTGAATGGCCCTTAACAGAAAGCCACCCACCCCATACTCCTGGAGCGTCCCCCACAGGGTGCCCCTGGGGACACGGTCATAAGCCTTCTCCAAATCCACAAAGCACATGTGGATTGGTTGGGCAAACTCCCATGCCCCCTCCATCACCCTTGCAAGGGTATAGAGCTGGTCCACAGTTCCATGGCCAGGACGAAAACCACATTGCTCCTCCTCTATCTGAGATTCAACTATCGATCGGACCCTCCTCTCCAGTACCTTGGAGTAGACCTTTCCAGGGAGGCTGAGGAGTGTGATCCCCCTATAGTTGGAACACACCCTCAGGTCACCCTTCTTAAAGATGGGGACCACCACCCCGGTCTGCCACTCCCTAGGAACTGCCCCCGATGACCACGCAATGTTGTAGAGACGTGTCAACCATGACAGCCCTACAACATCCATAGCCTTGAGATACCCAGGACGAACCTCATCCGCCCCCGGGGCTCCGCCGCTGTGTAGTTGTTTAACTACCTCAGCAACTTCTGCCCCCGAGATCGGACAGTCCATCCCCAGGCCTCCCAGCTCTGGTTCCTCCTCGGAATGCGCATTGGTGGGATTGAGGAGCTCCTCAAAGTATTCCTTCCACCGTCCGACTATAGCCTCAGATGACGTCAGCAGCTCCCCATCCCCACTGTAAACAGTGTGAGCGAGTTGCTGCCTTCCTCTCCTGAGGCGCCGGACAGTTTGCCAGAACCTCTTTGGAGCCGATCGATAGTCTTTCTCCATGGCCTCACCAAACTCCTCCCACGCCCGAGATTTTGCCTCGGCAACTGCCACTGCTGCACCCCGCTTGGCTATCCGGTACCTGTCTGCTGCCTCCGGAGACCCACAGACCAGCCACGCCCTGTAGGCCTCCTTCTTCAGCCTGACGGCTCCCCGAACCTCTGGTGTCCACCAGCGGGTACGGGGGTTGCCACCACGACTGGCACCGGCCACCTTACGACCACAGCTAGCAACAGCCGCCTCGACAATCGCAGAGTGGAACAAGGCCCACTCGGACTCAATGTCCCCCACTGCTCTCAGGACATGGTCAAAGCTCTGCCGGAGGTGGGAGTTGAAGACCGTCTTGACAGGTTCTTCTGCCAGGCGTTCCCAGCAGACCCTCACTATGCGTTTGGGTCTGCCAGGTCTACGCGGCATGTTCCCTTGCCATCTGATCCAATGGCAAGGTAATGAATGCATGAATAACCTATTCCAAATGCCTTTGCTTCAGAATAGGTGTAAGACGAGCTAGACGATGTAACTGATAAAAGCAGAACCTCGATGAAGAGTTTTTCTGAGAAACCACTGAGAGGCCAGCATCTAAATTTACCTCAAGAGGGACTTCAGGGATCAAAAACGATAGACTCAGGTTTTAGCACGTTTAATTTAGGAAAATTAGCAGCTAGCTATCCCTTGTGCAAGTCATGCCAAGAGACGAGAATCTGCGTTTTTGTCATTTAGTGCCACTCATCAGCATTGATATGACAGCTGATGCCATGCAAGCCAAAGATTTTCCCCAGTGGCAGGAGATGGATTGAAAAAATGAGTGGCCCAAGGATGGAGCCCTGCGGCATTTTCCCAGGGTAGAGAGCATGAGGCTGAGGTGCATTCCCAAAGCTGGGCAGTAATCGAACGATTTGATAAAGATGAGCAAAATCTTTCCTGTGCAATCCCTGTCAACCCTACCCAAGACCCAAGCCAGTCCAACAGAATGCAATGACTGTATCAAAAGCAGCAGACCGGTCCAACAGGAGCAGCAGCACCCGAGACCTTGAATCAGATGCGACCAGAACGTCATTAAGCACCCTAATTAGGGCAGATTCTGTGCTGCGGTGTGGCCTAAAGGCACGCTGAAAAACACCTAAGTGCATTTGTGTTTATGTGTGCAGATTGTTGTGCATAAACTATTTTCTCCAGCACCTTCGACAGGGAATGGTACCTTGGTGATCGGCCGAAAGTTCTCAAAAACTGAAAGATTCAGACCAGGCTTTTTAGCGTCTGCTGTACAACTGCATCTTAAAAACCTTAGGGAATACTCCGGTGCCAGGACGGTATTTACAACGTGCAGGGCTCAGCATAGACGCTGAGTCATGCATCGGTTTAGATGGGAGGTGGTCCTTGGGAGAGCCCCCTGGCTTCTTGGAGTTGATTAACTTCACCAAGTCGGAGAGAGAAAAAACTGATGGGCTCAGCGGTCCAGGAGGCTGAAGGCCAGATCCATAATCTTGTTAACATTTCTGTAACTCTACAGAAAGCAACGGTAGGAATTAGCCATCAGACCCAGACAACGACAGTAAAGAGTTAATTGCATTGTATAGCTCAGACTGGTCGCCATGGTGCTATGTGATGATGTTGGAGAAACAGGTGCACAAACCTGCGATGCAAACAGAACTTTATTACTAAAGTTTTCAGTGTAACTCTTCTGAATTTCATATCGGTACTTTTGCTTGTTTTTAAAACTCAGGAATGAGCGCCCCATTGTGCCAAAGCAAACTTAAAGAAAACTTGAAAACCAAGTTCCAGGTTGTGTTTGAGGGGATCGCTAAATCAGGAAACCCGACGCTCCTGAACCAGATCTTCACAGAGCTCTACATCACAGAGGGAGAGACCGGAGGGGTCCACCATGAACACGAGGTCAGACAGATAGAAGCAGCTTCTAGGAAACCTCACAGACCAGAGACCACCATCAGACATGAAGACTTCTTAAAGGTCCCACCTGGAAGAGATGAACCAATCAGAACAGTGATGACTAAAGGAGTGGCCGGCATCGGGAAGACCGTCCTAACCCAGAAGTTCACTCTGGACTGGACTGAAGATAAAACCAACCAGAACATCCACTTCATGTTTCCGTTCACCTTCAGAGAGCTGAATGTGCTGAAAGAGAAGAAGTTCAGCTTGGTGGAACTTGTTCATCACTTCTTCTCTGAAACCAAGAACATCTGCAGCTTTGAAGAGTTCCAGGTGGTCTTCATCTTTGATGGTCTGGATGAGTGTCGGCTTCCTCTGGACTTCCACAACAACCAGGTCCTGACTGATGTTACAGAGTCCACCTCAGTGGATGTTCTGCTGACCAACCTCATCAAGGGAAACCTGCTTCCCTCTGCTCGCCTCTGGATCACCTCAAGACCTGCAGCAGCCAATCAGATCCCTCCTGAGTGTGTTGGCATGGTGACAGAGATCAGAGGGTTCACTGACCTCCAGAAGGAGGAGTACTTCAGGAAGAGTTTCAAATATAAGAAGCAAACCAACAGGATCCTGTCCCACCTGAAGAATTCACGAAGTCTCCACATCATGTGCCACATTCCGGTCTTCTGTTGGATCACTGCTACGGTTCTGAAGAAAGTTTTTAAAAACCTGAAGGAAACGGAGCTTCCCACAACCCTGACTGAGATGTACATCCACTTCCTGGTGGTCCAGACCAAAGTGAAGCAGGTTAAGTATGATGGAGGAGCCGAGACAGATCCACACTGGAATCCAGAGAACAAGAAGATGATGGAGGCTCTGGGAAAACTGGCTTTTGATCAGCTGCAGAAAGGACACCTGATTTTCTACGAGTCAGACCTGATAGAGTGTGGCATCAACATCAGAGCAGCTTCACTTTACTCAGGAGTGTTCACACAGATCTTTAAAGAGGAGAGAGGACTCCACCAGGACAAGGTCTTCTGCTTCGTCCATCTGAGTGTTCAGGAGTTTCTGGCTGCTCTTCATGTCCATCTGACCTTCATTAACTCTGGAATCAACTTGTTTAAAGACCAACAAACAGCCTCTCGTTTGTCCAAGATGCTTAAAGACAAATCAAAATTAAGAATTCTCTACAAGTGCGCGGTGGACAAGGCCTTAGAGAGCCCAAACGGTCACCTGAACCTGCTCCTCCGCTTCCTCCTTGGTCTTTCACTGCCAGCCAATCAGATTCTCCTACAAGGTCTTCTAACTCATACAGGAAATGTGCTGGATGCAAATCAAAAGGCTGTTGAGTACATCAAGAAGAAGATCAGCAAGAACCTGCCAGCAGAGAAGAGCATCAACCTGTTCCACTGTCTGAATGAACTCCATGATCGTTCTCTGGTAGAGGAGATCCAACAGTCTCTGAGGTCTGGAAGTCTTTCCACGGATAACCTGTCTCCTGCTCACTGGTCTGCTCTGGTCTTCATCCTTCTGTCATCAGACAAAAATCTGGATGTGTTTGAACTGAAGAAGTACTCAGCTTCTGAGGAGGCTCTCCTGATGCTGCTGCCTGTGGTCAAAGTCTCCAACAAAGTTCTGTAGGTGGACTCCTAGACAACTTAACACACTTAACCTTTTATCAGTCGAACCTTGGATATGTGTTTTGCTGTCCTCCAGATTAAGTGGCTGTAACCTCTCAGAGAGAAGCTGTGAAGCCCTGGCCTCCATCCTGAGCTCCAGGTCTTCTAGTATCAGAGATCTGGACCTGAGCAACAACAACCTGCAGGATGCTGGAGTGAAGCTGCTGTGTGGAGGACTCAAAAGTCCAAACTGTAGACTGGAATCTCTCAGGTCAGGACTGATGTTTGGTTTTATAATCCAATATTAAATTTCATACAAAGCAGAGTGAGAATTTCTTTGGAAGGCAACTGGGATGGTGGTCCTCATTTTTATAGTAGGTGGTCCAAAGATGGTGTTCCTGTTATCTGGGATCACAGTTCTCTGCTTCCCTGGGAAGGATGTTGGAAAACAGGCTGTAGGCCAAAGCTAAACCTCTTAGAAGGCGTGGTTTTCATCTGTGTCCTGGAACAATAAACCAGACCATCCTCACAAAGCTGCTGAGGGTGTCATGGCAGTTTGGTAGACTCGGTGGAGGCTTACGACCATGGTCCTTGGTTGTCCGGTTCTGGGTTCTCTGCACTAAACTCAATCCCAGGTATGGTTTACCAGTAGTCTGAGAATTCCTTTGCATTCAATAAAACGTGGCTGAGATCTATAGCCTGCATGCTGCAACCCTCATCGCTAGTCATGCTACTGGAACTACCTGGAAGAACAAGATTCTGGATGCAGATGAGTTCCTCCGTATAGAAGCAGTCAACGTGAGGTAAGATGAGCAGCTGTTTGTGGTGCAGAGTCAACCGGGGTGATTTTCCAGGTGCAGTGGTGGAACTCCCTGGAGGGCAAATATTTCCTCCTTGGCTTGGAAAGATTTAGGAATCTGGTATAAGAGCTGCTAAGTATGTCACTGATATCTGCGCTTCCATTCTGGATCCGTTACGCTAGCAGTCCTACCTCGGAGAAAACATAGGAAATATAACTAAAAAAATCCATTTTAGAGAAAAATCAGTCTAATACTTGTTCCCTTTCAACAAGGAGCTAACAGGCTAACTGTTAGCAACAGCAGCTTTACCAAATGGTGGAACACAATGTTTCGTTAGGCATTTGTGGAGAAAACACATCAGTGTTGTGTTTTTTACCCAAGAAAGAAGAGAGATTGCTGTTAGCCAATCAGGGGTGAGGTGTTTGCACATCATGACGATTAATGAGTAATCCAAGTTGAACTCCTGCTGTTTTCCACTCCCTCTAATGTCTACTTCCTGGAACGGGAGCACCAGAGCGTTTTCCCTCAGACGACCACTCACAAGGCTTTCAATCCATCCAGAGGCCACAGCAGATATACTGAAATAACAAGTGTTGGTTCTCCACGTTCAAACCATGTGGTGTCTGAGTGACCTTTTTGATCTCCAGTCTCTCAGGTTGCCAGGTAACACAGGAAGGATGCACTTCACTGGCTTCAGCTCTGAACTTCAATCCCTCACATTTAAAAGATCTGGACTTGAGCTACAACCATCCTGGAGACTCAGGAGAGAAGATGCTGACTGGAAAGCTGAAGGATCCATGCTGCAGGCTGGACACTCTCAGGTGTGGACGAATTCACCTTCTCAGTGACATCAGCAACTGCTTCAGGAGGCTGATTTTCCTTTCTCTCTACAGTTTTGACCAATCAGGAGAACAAAGGCTCATCCCTGGTTTGAGGAAATGTGAGTGTGATCCATGAAGCCTGCTGCTGCTTTCTAACCTTCAGCAACAAAGCTCACACGTGAAACTAGAAACGTGTGAAGACTTTTAAAAGAGGCAACACCTGTAAAACAGGGAAGGTGACTAACCTTTCATCTTCCAACAGATGCCTGCCGACTCACTCTGGACCCAAACACGGCCCACAAGGAGCTTCTCCTGTCTCTGAATAAGAGGAAAGTGACGGTGGCCCAGAAGTATCCTTGCATGGATCATCCAGAGAGATTTGACCATTTGCCTCAGCTGCTGTGTGGAAACGGTCTGGCTGGCCGCTGTTACTGGGAGGTGGACTGGAGAGGGGTGGTTAAAGTGGCGGTGACTTACAGAGGAATCTGCAGGAAAGGGAATAAGTGTGACAGCATTTTCGGACGGAACGACCGGTCGTGGAGTCTCCTCTGCTCTGAAGGAGGGTACTCCGTGTGGCACGACAACCGAGAGACCATCATCCCTCTTCCTCCTTCGTCCCTGGTCTCTAAGAAAGTAGCCGTCTACCTTGACTGTCCTAGTGGTACCTTGTCCTTCTACAAAGTCTCCGACACGCTGGTCCACCTCCACACTTTCAGAAACACCTTCACTGAACTTCTGTATCCTGGCTTTGGCTTTGGCTTTGGTTGGGGGTCCTGCTTCGGTTTCTCTGTGACATTGTGTGAGCTGTGATTGTGTTTGATCGTTGTCGAGTCTCAGCTCAAGAGCCAAAATGCAAAAACTTCACACTAAATCCTAATTTTAGTAAATAACCTTCAGGCAAAAAGCTGAACATCAAAGCAACAACAAATGAAAAATCAGGGCATCGTGTGGCGGGCGTTAATCTAGTTAGTACTCCTGTTAAATTTATGTGCTTTATTTTCGCAAACGGCCGGCACAAGAAAACAACAGAGGAAGAGACGTCTCTCTGCATCAGCCAGCAGGAAAACATCAGAAAACACGCAGAGTTACTAAATGTTTTGAGTAGAAAAGATTCCTGCAGCAGCAGAGCTACGTGCTGCTGTGTGTCATCTATTACCCTAAGGCAGGCCCAGGGCACCAAAAAGGCCAGGTGTGTGTGCGCGCGCGTGTGTGTGTGTGTGTGTGTGTGTGTGTGCGTGTGTGTGCCGTCGTTCCAGCATCACCTCGCCCCTCCCACCTGCTGAAAGCTTCAAACCAATCAGAGGAAGGACAACCAGGCTGACTATTGGTTTATCTTTAGAAGCTCCGCCCCCTCAGGTAGGCTACACATTCCTGCACGAGCATCATTTTCAGTGTCTAAACTGAGCTGTGTCATTGCAATGAACCTTTTTCCTGTTTTTGTTTTAATCTGAGTTTTATCTTTTTGTTTTAAAACTTTAAAAATAAAGACTTTGATTGAATTTTGAATCTTATAAATGAAACAATGTCGATGCTAAACATTTAGCAACATTTACTATTTAAATCTTTTAAAATGAGCTGCATTCAAAGGTCAGTTTATAAAAGTCAAATCTGACGTTATGTTGTTTTTAGTTTAAATTGGACTAACTGAACTGGTCCAATCTGGGTCACATTCATATTTCTGTAATCTAATCGTAAATAGATTTTATGAGTTTATCTGAAACATGGTTCAGTTAAAACACCAAACTAGAGCAAAGGGAACTCGGTTCATCCCCTCTGATGAGTTTATTTTCACTAAACCAGGTTCAGTGGATAGGATTCTCAGACGGGAACATTCAGTAACTAAAATCCATAAAGCATCAAGTTCTGATCGTGGCTTTAAATAAACCCTCAGAATGTCTCCAAAGAACTTTTCATCAACTTATTGAAGTTTCCGCAAAGCAGCTGAGTTTTAATAGAAAACACCAAATAGAAACAAGAATAAAAGGAAAGAAAATGTCTTTATTTTTTATTATTTAACTCAAAAAATACAAGTTTTACAAAATGCACGTAACACAAACATCTGTCTGTAGCTGGAAATGTGCCTGCTTAATTACGGATTTAAAACTTTTTCACCAACTAGAAAAAATATTAAAAGCTAAATTCAGTATCAAAGTTCAGATTATTCTAATTCAAATTTAGATAAAAATCCTGCAAATACTTCTTATAAAATTAAATATACCAGATATAAAATAGAACAGTTGAGCAAAAACACCTAAACTATTCAAGTTCCAGTCAAAACAAAGAAAATGAGTATCAAACAGCAAATATTATGTCTGCAGACGATTTCATCAAATGCTTTTTCTGCCCACAGAAGCATCTTTTACATCAGATAATAAATACTTTAAATGTTTGTGAGAGATTGTTTTTGCAGCAAAGAAAAAAAGTTTAAAATTTTACTTTAAGAAAAAAAAAAGGTTCCAATCATCCAAAAAAATTGTTGTTTTTTAATTCATATTTTACTTTAGAAATAATTTAAAATTGTATCCATGAAGGTTTTTAGATCTCTAGTACCTGCTGGGACCTGCTGGGACCTTCTGGGACCTGCTAGTCCGAGTATGTTTGCTGTAGTAAAAGTATTTCCCCTCTTTATGAGTTTAGAGTTCTCGGTGGTAAAAATAACTGAAGGATCCAGAACCGCGGTGGTTGAAGTCCACCCAGCATCCTGCTGCAGACCTCCAGGTGAGTCCAGGTGTTAGCTCCTTGACCCGGATCAAGTGGTCCTAAACATTTCACAAATGAACCAACTGCTGTTGAACTGTCTAGAACCACTAGACCAGGGAGGACCAGGTGAGACCAGAGAGGACCGTCGGCGTCGGGAGTCTTGCTGTGCCGATCTGAACCACGTCCTCCTGACTTTATATCTGCTGCTGCAGGCATTCTAAGGAATGAAGCTCCGACCAGTCGGGCCAGCCGGAGGGAAGGGTTACCTGTCTGGTCAGGTGGTGACACACCTGAGCTGCAGCTCACCTGTTTCACCTGTTTGTTCACCTGCTGATTCCAGTTTTACAGAATTCATTCAGACTATAGTTTCATCTTAAAGTTTCTGTGACAGTTTGAAACCTTTAATTTTCCTCGCAGACAGAAACGTTCACCTGTGATCATCTACAGCGGTCCTCGTTGGTTCTCCGGGTGTTCTGAAGGTTCCCCGGAGGTTTTCTTTGGACTTTCTCTGATTTGAACAGAAACGAAACAAGCTCTATCATTCCTCGGAGGGATCATCCGTCTTTCACAGTAAACAGTTAAACTAGAATCCTTTAATGCTGATTAAAGATGGCTGACAGTAAAATCGGGTGACCTTTTGTTCTCGGGGTCGTTTAGGATCAAACAGACTATCGATGTCAGCCATGTTGGGCAAGTTACTTCAAAACTGTAATACATTATTTATTACTTGTTACTCTCATTTTAAAGTAACTTATTTGCATTGAAATATTGATTTCAACATGTAAGGCATTACATTACTTTTGCATTACTTTAAGTTACTCTTACCAAAGTTACTGCAGATATGGATGTAGCTATCTACATGCAGCTCGTGAGGCTCGGGTAGCTCATTCCACATCCAGTGGAAGGTGACGTCGTGTCTGAGCCAGGGTTCTGGTTAAAACCGGCAGATCTTTAGGTGTAGCATACCATGTTCTTCATATTCTACAGTCATGGGTGTACTCCAATCTGAACAATGTTCTAGCTGACTTTACATCAGCTGCAGGTTCACTAATCTCTGCTCAGTCAGATAACAGGAAGTAAAACATTTTCATTGGACCGTAGCAGGAAAAAACAGATTTTACTCTGCAGGTCCTTCCAATCACCTCCCTCAAGGTTGGATTATGGATTATGGATTATGATTGCCCCAGGGCATGAACGTTCTCAAAGATGACCGGGGCTCCCCAGAAAATAAACGTTTCTATTGAAAAAAGTGCAAAAACAATGCTGCCATCTTAAGTTAATTGAGCTTTTGGG